GTGTTTGTTTATTTATTTGTATGTCTGTTTCGAGGATTCAGAAGGTAGTCTGCCCATAGCCACACTTCCTTGCCAGTCCGGGGAAGAGGTCAGAGCCCACAGGAAGAGTTGGCGTCTTCTCTGCTAGATGGCTAGCTCACCCTTCCTGGTCAGGCCTTGGCCTTTTGACTGCCAGGGCTGTCAGAGCAAGGCGGGGAGCCCAGCGACGGGGCAGTTGGGAAGACTGTTGGAGGCTTCTCTTGCTTGTGTTCATTGTTGGCCTGCGCTCGGGAGAAGCCAGGCCTATGTGTGGGGCCAGGGTGGTCTCTGCTTTCCCCTTCCTATCCCGAGTCATCTCATCAGACTGAACGGGGGTCGTTCTGCTTTTTCCCTGCCAGCCCTTTTCCATGAATCACAGGCAGTATTTGCTGATGTCTGTGCTGTAACTTTCCTGTCCTGCGTCCCCAGGGGTCACATCTTGGCCAGGGCAGGGGGTCTCTGGGACTCCACTGCTGTGGCACATTTGCCTTGAGATCTCCAAGCCAGGGTATGTCACTTTCCCTGGGTGATTCTGGAGGCTTCAGGGCAGAGTGTTCCCTGGGCTAGCTGTGTGAGAACCTTAGACTTTCTGGGCTTTGTCACCCTGAGGGGGTGGGAGAGTCCCTCTGGGTCTGGGGAGCCTGACTGTGGCCTAGCCCTTACCCTTGCCCCGTGGGTTCCTTTGGGGCCAGCTCCCTTGGCCCTTTCTGAAGCTAAAAGGTGGCAGAGTGTCACCCGTTCCCTGGGCTGGCGTGGCTCTGGGCCGGGCACACACTGCCCCATTGTGCTGTGCTTTTCCATGCAGCTCTTGTTGGAGCCTCTGGTCCCTGAGCCAGTTCTCTCCCGGCGCCTTTCCTCGGAGCCCGTGGGAGGGGGTGGGGTGGACTCTGCTGGCAAAGGCTTGGGCGAGGTGGCAGCTGCAGCTGTGGGTGGCTTTGTTCTTAGAAGCAGCTTTCAGGGCTGTGGTCCAGCCTGGCAGCGGTGTTCCGGGAGTAGGTGAGACAGGAGAGCTGCCCCTTGGCAGCAGTGCCCCCTCACTCTCGTTCTGTTGACAGCCAGAGAGCCTTGCTTCCTGGGGTCACCAGCCGGGCTCACTGCTTGGCAGGGCGGGTGCTGTACTTCCCTGAGGCCTGCCTTCCAGAGGGGAGAGGCCCGGAGGGTCTGGCGGTAAGTCCAGAGGAGCGTCCCTATCAGGAGAGGGCAGTGTGTACCCGCGGGCATCCTGCAGCCTGGCATTCCTTCTGCTCTCTCTTTGCAGCTCCGGAGTTGGGCTGCTCACAGACCAAGCTGTCTGTTTGTATGGAGTGCCTGGAGGGCGTCTGCCATGAGTCTGTTGCTAACCGTGCTAACCAGGAGAGCTGGCTGGTTGGGGAGAAGACACTAACCCTGTGAGTCTGACCCGGGCCAGCTAACCGACCCTGAAGGTGCCTGCAGCCACGCCTCCCTCCTCCCTTCCTGCCCCTGGCCTCCGCCCCTCTGCTTACACCATGCCGCCGCCTCCGCTCACTTGTCCTTGCTGCTGGGTTCCCTAGGTGGGGCTGTGCACAGGCACCTGTCCCCCTGCCAGCCGGCTGCTGGACTCTGCCCCTCTTCCTCCCCTCAGTCAGTACTGTGTCTCTCAGTTCTCCCTTAGAACAGCATGTCTCTTTAATCTGCTTTTAGCACCATGGAGTTTGAGAACATCCCTCAGTTACCATGCTATTGGTTTCATGCCTCATAGAGACAGATGGAGGGAGAGTAGGAAGGGAATTTTCTGCTAGACTAGAGAGTTTCCTCCCTTTATCAAAAGGGGAAGATGATGGACAGTCCCTTGGCAGTCCAGTGGTTAGGATTCAGTGCTTTCACTGCCGAGAGCCCAGGTTCAGTCCCTGGTCAGGGAACTAAGGTCCCTCAAGGGCATGGCCAGAAGAAAAAAGGAGAAGGTGATGTCCCCATTATTCTCATCCCAGGATAAGGGTTGAAACTGCAGGTTCTTCTTGGGGACCGGGAGGTTGAGGAAAATCTTGGCCTGGCTGTGAGAAATGGCCTGAGCAGAGGAGTGAAGCTATGTCTGAAAGCTGGAGCCCAGAACCGGATACCCATCTGAGATGTCGCTCCCGTTGGCGACCGTTGCTCTGGGAGGTGGGGTGGGAGGAGTCAGTCCCCCCACCGCCTTCCATGTCTGGAGCTTCAGGTGGACTTTAACCGAAAAGAGCTGGGAAGGGCGCTTTAGCCAGAGGGGGCAGGACCTGGCTTTGGACTCCACAGTGGGCCTGAAGAGGCGTTGGCCTCTGCTTGCCATGGAGAAGCTCCCAAGCTCCCTCCTCCCTCCAGGCTTGGAAAGGAGAAGGGGGGTCCAGAGGTTGCAGGAAGGCTGACTACGTGGGGCTCCCTGGTGGTCTGCAGAGGTAACTGTAGACAGATCCTGTCTGCCACCTCTGGGAGCAGTGGCCGGGGAGGGGGGCAGACTGTGGTGCGCTAGATAGGGGGACATGAGACCTGGAGGCCCTCTAAGCCGCCTCTGTTTCCCTTGAGCCAGGAGGCAGAGGGCAGGATCGCTCAGGGCTTTGCTCAGGTATCTTGGGAGCAGCATGTCCTGAAAGGGTGGGGTCGTACTTTCTCAGAGGGGTGGCAGGCCTGCCTGGGGGAGGGGCAGTGGGGCTGGTCTGGGCACAGACTGGCATCTTCCAGCCTTGTCATCGGCCCAGAGGAGAGCCTGCCCCGGCTCCACCCGTGTTCTGCTGGCTGCTTGCCTGCCACGCGCCCAGGATCGCTCAGGGCTTTGCTCAGGTATCTTGGGAACAGCTGCGCCGGAAACTGGGGGCCAGCGCTGGGAGGACTGAACCCGCGCTGCTTCAGTAAGCTCGGCTCTCTGTGCGGCTGTTCACTCTCAGTCAAGAGGGAGAGGAGCCATCCTGATCAGGGGTGGACGTGGGAGGGGTCCTCATGGGCAGTCTCTGGACCCCCTGCTGGCTCACCTGGTTAGGGGGCTGGCCCTTGCAAGGTGGTGGTTTGTGTTTCTTGGTCCTTAGTTGGAGCCAGAACCCGGATTTCAGAGGCCTGAGAAGCAGTTGCACTTGCACTGTAGGAGTGTGTCTTGCCCCTACCCCACCCCACTCCGTGAGGCGCAGCTTCCTCCAGGCCTGCGGGGTTCAGAGACCACTTCACAGCTGAGGACCATTCCAACAGGGCAGGCGCTCGTCCCTGTGACCACACGCTCCTGTTTAGTGGTTCACCGGGGCTTTAGGAAGGGCTCATATTTGGTTTTATTATTAATTTATATCCTGCTGGGGTAAGACAGCATACAACACAGCTAGGGTATTCTGAAAAGGGGCCAGTTTTCCTTTCATTTTAAAAGCAGCAGTGACTGCTGCCTTCCATTTGACTTTCTTTGCCTGAATTATGAAAGAAGAGCATTAGTTAATGATTTTTGTGATGTGTGTGCCTTTCCTGATTCAGAAGATTGGGTTCATTGGCCCCTCAAGGTCCTTCACTTGCTTGGTTTCAGTGACAGCTGGGGACAGAGGCATCAGTAAGTACAGAAATGCTGAGCCCAGATAAACTGCTGGGGTCATCATTTCTTAAAGAGAATGTGGGTGATGGAAGTGGCGGAGGCAGGCGGCTTCCTTGGGTAGGCAGCTGAACTGGGTAGGGGGCAGGGGTGTAGTACAGAACTTGGGGGCTAGAAGCAGACCTGGGGGCTGTGGGGGAGGGCAGAGTTTCAGCCACACCTGTTTTGGATTCATTCGTCCCCCTCCGCTGGGGCAGCATCGAGGGGGTAACCTCTGAGCAGAGAGAAAGCTGGATGCTGGGAGCCCCCTTCCTCTCCTGCACCTTTGATTTTGACCTGGGCCTCTGGCAGACCCACAGAAGGGATGGCAGAGGGAAGTAAGAGCTTGTCCTTGGCTCTTGGAATCAAACCTTTCATTGTTGCCTCTTTGGGTGTTTGCAGGGAGGAGGAGAAAGGATAGCATTTTGGAGAGAATCAGATTCTGAAGAGGGCTCCTCCTCATCCTGCTCCGTCTCCAACAGCGTCAGGACTGACCTCGGTGGGGGCCTCTGGTCACATCCACACACACTCCATGTCCACAAAGGGGAGCGAGTCGGAGAGCCATCCCCTGGTTCGAGAGAGGAGCTCGGCAGATTTTTTTGTCCTTTGACTAAAGGATACTGCTCAGCTGGCTCCTGGCATATATTGCTCCTTATATCTGTCTCTGATACACGCTCTGCTCAGCTGTTCAGTGGGTTCAGAGCACAGGTTCACTGTGCGTGCCGAGTCCCATTTCTAATGAAAGTAGACTTTGTTCTCTGGAGGCAGCTAATCGTGCCCGTGGGCTGTAATCAGGGAGAAGGTATTTAATACAGGGCAGGAGGCAACAGGGGCCTGCGCCGACTGGCAGATTGCAACATGGCAATTACAAGGCTATCACCCCCTCCTTCTACTCCAGCAGATACCGGTTGAGTCCTCTGAACCGCTCCTGAGTAAGTGAAGAATGAATACTATGCAGGAGAGGAAGGAGGAGGCGGGGTTTGGTGGGGTGGGGGCTGTGAGGAGAGCTGCTTTGCTTTCCTTTCTCACCCCGCCTCTGTGATGCGGGTGGGGTGTCTCCCTCGATAGTGCCTGCAGGTGCAGCCTGCAGGTCAGCTGGGGGGGGGTTGAGGGGTCTCAGCCTTTCTCCCAGAAGAGCTTCCCTCATAGCTCAGTTAGTAAAGAATCTGCCTGCAATGCAGGAGACCCTGGTTTGATTCCTGGGTTGGGAAGATCACCTGGAGAAGGGATAGGCTACCCACTCCAGTATTCTGGCCTAGAGAATGCCATGGACTGTATAGTCCATGGGGGTCGCAAAGAGTCGGACATGACCGAGCGATTTTCACTTTCACTTTTCTCCCAGAGCACGGCTGTCATACAAACCCAGCCTGAGATGAGGTAGCCCACGTCCTAAGTCCTCTGCTTCCAGTTCCTTGAAGCTCAGGTAGTTTGTGGTGAGGGGTGGGAGTGGGATTATTCCTCGTCAGTTTCTAGACTTTCTAGAAGACCCTTCTCATGGAGGTGCCCTGGAACCAGCGCAGCATCTAGAGGCTAAGAGACCTCAAGGGCTGTCTGCCCGCTCCTCGTGGCCTGTGGCCCATTTGGACTTGTCTGGCCTTCCCTGGGGGGCTCTTTTTCTTGATGTGGGATTAGGAGTCGACCTAAGGTTGAAACACTCCAAAGCAGCTTGGAGATCTGTGGCTGAAGGCTGTGTGGCCGGGGAGGCGGCCTCTAGGAGCTGGGTCTCCCTGGAGGGGCCGCTCTGGTGCTTTGTAACCTGCCTCTCCTCTTCTCCCAGCTGTGACCCTGCTGCCCAGCTGCCACTCCCTGTGTCCTCCAGCAGGCCTGGCATCGCGCTCACCCCTGGGCTGACCTTCTCCGCAGTGCCAGTGGCCTGCCACGCCCATGTTTGCCTGTTCAGTGCTGGAACAGTGGTCCCCTCCAGGCTGGATCTGGAAACCTTAGCAGACCTCAGGAGTTGGAACCAGGGCCCCAACGTGCACTGGAATTTAGGGATGTGGGGCAGAGTGTGGCACAGAGTCTTCCTCCTGGACTTATGTTGGGACCACTGCGGCTCCCTGGTGGGCTGTCCTCCCTAGCAGGGTGTGGTCTTCTGCTTCCCCGGTCGGGAGTCACATCCCTCCCTGTGACTGCAATATGTATGAAAAGAGCGGGTTCTGGCTGGGGAGAGAACCTCCCGAAACCACTGTCCTTTATCTGAGAGTGCTAGTCTGCACTTTGACCCATCTCACTGCTAGCCACATCCACGCTATCTGTCCCCTCAGCAAGCCAGATTATCTGGCCATGAAAGCCCCAGGAATATGAGCTGTGGGGCCATGAGGTTGAGACGGGGCAGGATGAGCTCGTAGGACACGTGACAGCTTGAGCTGGGGCAGCAGGACATGGAGTGAGGCCGCTGCGTCTCTGCACGGGAAGAATGATTAGATCCCTGGGCACGTCAGTGTCCTCTGCCCACTGCCCACACCAATGTCCCAGGGCCTGGAGGACAGTGTGGGCGCTGGCAGGAATAGGGAGGAGGGGGGAAGGCAGAGGCCGGCTCTGGACTTCACAGGCGCTCCTGGCTACCAGTATCTCTCACTCCTGTGGTCTGACTCTTCCTTTTCTGACAGGTACACACCGCCCCCCCCCCCCAACTTAGACCCCCTGAGTATCCGAACCCAGGTGCCTGGGCTGGCTTGGCACTTTCTGGGCCTGTTCCCTGGGCCAGAGGAGCGTCCACCCAGGGCCCCACTGAAGGGGTAGCCCCAGGGAATTGTGGGGGTGACTTGTTTGCTCCCCCACACCTCAGGAATGTGCTGTCCCTTCAAGCCTGCCCGGATTCCTGTGCAGGGAGTCAGCCCGACACAGCCCGCTGCGTGTGCCCTGTGGGGACACGCTCTGCCTCGCCATCAAAGGGCTGGAGGCTGGCGGCTCGTGCCTGCTGCCACACCCCAGAACCCCACACCAGAGGCCAGGCTGCCCAGACAGAGGGGGGAGGCCACTCCTCTTCCCGCCCTCCCCACCCCCTCACCGTGCCTCCCGCCTCAGGCCCTGTTGGAATGTGACAGGAGTCGTGGCCAGGGCATGTCCCGACAGCAGGAGCACATGCTTTAGCCCGCAAGCCTTCCCTCAGCCCCCAGCTCTGGTTAGGTGGATGGTGGAGGCAGAACTGCTAATGCCGGAAGGCCACCTGAGGTTGCTGCCCCCACCGGTCCCTGCGGCGGCTGCGGCAGAGCTGCTACTGCCCGGAAGGCCACCTGAGGTTGCTGCCTCCACCGGTCCCTGCGGCGGCTGCTGCCCCCGTGCTGCCGCCCAGCTCGTCACAGGTGGGGGAGGTTGGAACCCCAAGAACTTGGAGCGGGCCTCACAGGCCACTCAGTCCAGCCACCGCTCTGCAGATAGAGACAAGCTTATCCAGTGAGGCAGGGACTAGCCAGGGCCACACCGTGTGTCAGAAGCAGCCCTGAGCCCGGAAGCCAGGTGTCTCAGCTCCCCAGACTGGGGCTTCCCACACAGGCCTTCCCAGCCCGGGCGCTATCAACATTGTGTGCCAATAATTCCTTGTTGTGGGAGGCTGCCCTGTGCTTTATAGGATGTTTAGCAGCATGCCTGGCCTCTACCCACTAGATGCCGGTACCACCCACCCCTGGCGTGACAACCAAAATGCCTTCAGATATTTGCCAGATACCAGGGGCGGGGAAAGAAGGGGGCCAGGGAAGACCAAAGTCACCCTGGTTGAGAACCGTCATTGCTCTAAAATGCTGCCTTTTCCAGTTTTCTCTCCTGGACCTACCCCTTCTCCCCACACAGTCTGTTCACCTCTGTTGTCCATAGAACTAGTGCTTGGGCTCTTCTGGAATCATTGGTAGGAGGTTTCTCTGCCCCCCACCCCCCACCAAGCATCTTTTTCTAGGCTTTTTCCTGGTGTTTTCTTCTGCAACCCATGTCCCCCAAATCTCTGAGGAGTTGTTTCTAGACTCTGAGAGGCCCTGGAGATGAACAGGACAGATATGGGGTAGGATAGGGACAAGACCAGACCAGACCTATTCTGGAATCAGATGTGTGGTAAGCCAAGACCACGGTCACACAGACACACCTGTGTCTCCCTGGGCCTGTGATACCATTCATGGGGAGCCCAGTGCTTCCACTCCGGTCCAGCCTCCACGGCTCTCCTGCCCAGCTCTCCTGGGGGCACTGACAGATAGGCGCTGACACCTGGTTTCTTGTTTTCTTCCCGTCTCAAGTTTCAGGAGCTGTTGGCCAGAGGAAGTGGCCGGGCCGTGGGATGCGGAGAGCCACAGGCTGACTCCTGGACAGCGGAACAGAGAGTGCTGCCAACAGACGGACGGTATGTTCATGGTGAGGCCTGCGCCCCCACGGGGCTTCCTCCTGGGGAGGCTGGCAGGTGAGGGGGCAGCAGGTGGCCCCTCTTGGTGGGGGCTGGTGAAGAGAGTGGTGGAGGCCAGACAGGCTTGACCTTCAGGGCCCCCAAACCTGGTGACGCCCCGCCCCACAGGGTCCAGGCTGGGCGTACATCTCAAGCCCTTACTTTCTGCTTACACTTTGCTTTAAAGCTAACATTAGTTGAGCATCTGGGTGCCAGCTTCTGTTATTAGTGCTTTCCATAATCATTACAACAACTCTCTGAAATTGGTTGTTGAAATGAAACTCAACCTAGAGCAAACTGGCGTTTGGAGAGTCGCTCTTCCCTCTGAGGCGACCCTCCCACGCCTGCAGGGGCCAGGAGTGGGGCACTCCTCCAGCCCACCGCACGCTCCCTGCGCCCAGGCCCTGGGCCCTGCCTTTCCCCTCATGTGTTACCACTGGCCCTGGACCCCTCTCCTGTTCACCATTGACCTACAGGCAGTAACACACCAGAGTTGAGCACTTCAAATAACCCTGGGAGTGGCCCAGGCCTGTCTGCCTGCCTGGTGGCTCCTACGTGTCCTCTTTCTCCCTCAGTTCAGAAGCCTCTTGCGACGTCTCTGAGCCTCCTCCCTCCTTATTTCCTTCAGCAGGTTGAAGAGCTCTCGCCTCCCAGAATGACCAGTGCAGCCCCTGCTAAGAAGCCCTACCGTAAGGCACCACCCGAGCATCGTGAGCTGCGGCTGGAAAGTCCTGGCTCCCGGCTCGAGCAGGAGGTCAGCAAGGGCGGTCCCCCTGCCCCAGCTGGCAGATGCAGGTCCCTGAGGCGGGGGGCCTGGCTGTCCTGAGGGGACGTCTGGTTCCCCTAGTTGGGGTGAGGGTGTGGTGTTGCTGGTACCCACTTGGGCTCTCAGCTGCCGCCATGCTTGTGGGGGGCCATGCAGACTAATGGGGGATGGCTGTGACACGTCCACATGTCCAGGAGCCCCAGAGTCTGTAGCTCAGCCTACTTGATGTGTGCAGTGTTATTCTTGGTGTGAGAGGCCGCCCCCCAGACAGAGGTGTCTGACCTACCCGGAGCCTGGGACTCTGGCCCTCCCCTGGTGGACCAGAGCTGTTCAACCTGCGGCCCCTCTGGGCGCCGTTAGGAAGCTCCAGCTGCTTGCCCTCAGACAGTTCTTCACTGTCCCTGAAAGGCTGATGACCTTCGTCCAGCTTTGCTTTGTCGGGCTGACATTTATCAAATATGTGCTCCCTGCTAGAACTGCATTAGATTCTTAGGAGGCCTTCTTCACGCACCTGCCAAACATTCTCCTGATCGGTTTTCCTCCCTCGTTAAGCTCCTGCAGGAGGAGGAGAGTTTATTCTCCTTGATACTGTGTCTCTACCCTGTTGAAGTGCATGGAGCACATTTAGAGAACTTGAGAGATGGCCAGCATGTGCCAGGCGCCCAGGGCAGAAGTGCCATCCACGACTTGCCCATTTTCAGTTTAGGAAACATTAAAAGGCTAGACACTGTGTGAGGTGCCACCCTCTGGACACTCCCCCAGTTTTGCAGATGTGGTCTCTACGGTTCAGCAAAATTAATGTAACCAGTCCAGGTGTCAGTGACTCCCAGGCCCATAGTCTGGGCCACACACCTCATTATCCTGCCTGTGATGAGCGTCCTGAAGCTGTGAGGCCAGTCAAATGCCACTCAACATTTCCCTCCTGCCATAGCGCGGGCTGGCTCTGCATTGTGATTGGCCGAATTCTAGCCCTTGGGCTTGTGACCCGTGTGGGGGCTTGAGGAGGATGCTGCAGGAGGGAGAAAGCAGGATGAGACGCTTCACTCCTTTTGGTCCGGGTTATCCCAGAGGTCCTGCACTTGTGCCTCCCGAGCCTCTGTGAGGGCCCGATGCTGCCCAGGGGTCCGGAGGGCTTCATCAGAGCTCTGGACCCTACTCCATCTCACCTGGCTTTGTCACTTCTCTGGAAAGTCTTCAGCCTTGCCTGCAGGGCCTGCTAGGAGCCCAGTGAACAGCTGAGAGTCTCTCTAGCCCAGGGAGGGATAGCATGGGTACCAGGACTCATTTGTGGTTGGCTCTAGGACTCAGAGGGGTTGGAGCTGGTGTGGGGAACGGGGAGGGTTGGAGTCTGGGTGGCATGGGCGAGAGTAGTCTTGTCTGGTCCAGAAGTTACTCGATGGCCTCCATATCTGTGGGGCTCTGCAGCCCACTTGTGCCAGACACATCTTGCTGCAGACATGACCCTCTCTGGGGCTGTTTGGAGGAGGTGGGAGTGAGCGCGAGGCAAGTGATCCAGAGCTGAGCCTCACGCTTCTGTTCTTTTGTGCACAGGAGCCGCTTACTGACGCGGAGAGGATGAAGTGAGTAGCTGCTGCCCAAGAGCCTTCCCCGCCTCAGCTCTGTCCCCTTAGCCCCAGGCTGTTGGGCTTTTCCTTGGATTAGGTAGAGGTAAAGGTTGGGGAATTTTAGGGACTCTGGAAGGCAGCTTGAAGTTTTGGATATTCCTTCTGGAAAAAGATTTGTTTCATGAGAACCTGGCATCGGGGAGGTGAATGGCTCTGAGGGGCCTGCTCTTGCCAGAGTTCTTCCCCAGCTCCCGGCCCTCCTGTGCCAGCTGTCTGCTCGCAGCCCTTTCCGTCAGCTCCGTGAGGCCTCTGGAGAGCAGGGCACTCCTGGGCTGGGTTTCCACGAGTTGAATAATGGAGCAGCTTGACTGTGCAGTGGAGAAACTGGAGCTGGGGGCCGGCTGGCTTGGGTTGTAACCAGAGACAGATGGCAGCTGTGGCCCCTGCAATTCTGTCTTCTCCAGTGAGGGGGCCCGACTGTTCCCCTCCATCCCCTCTGCCTCCCCCACCCTTTGGCCAAGCTGTGTTCTCAGGGCCAGCAGGCCTATGGGATACACTTCCCCAGACTCAGGCTGAGTCTCAGGGAGTCCCGGCCCTCAGCTGCCTGTCCTCCTGTCACCCCTATTTCCTTCCTGAATCCAGCCTGGGACTCCAGGGTGGCCCTTCCACCTCTGATGCCCCTCTGCCCTTGATCCCTCATCCTCCCAGGCTTTTGCAGCAGGAAAACGAGGAGCTCCGCCGGCGCCTGGCCTCGGCCACCAGGCGAACTGAGGCTCTGGAGCGCGAGCTGGAGATCGGGCAGGACTGCCTGGAGCTGGAGTTGGGCCAGAGCCGGGAGGAGCTGGACAAGTTTAAGGACAAGTTCCGCAGGTGTGGGACGGGGCTGGGACACGCATGCATGCACCTCCCCATTCACGGGGTTGTCAGCCAGGAGTGGCCTCAGAGGTGATCCGATTCTGATGTGAAAACTGAAGTTCTGGAATGGACACCTGCCCAAGATCCCACATCAAGAAGGGGCTGAGCAGGGTCTGAAGAGTGGCATCTTGACCTGGGGGTCTGCCCTGTGTTCGTTACAGGCTGCAGAACAGCTACACGGCTTCCCAGAGGACCAACCAGGAGCTGGAGGACAAGCTGCACACGCTGGTAATCTGTCGAGGAGGGCAGCTTGGCTGGCGCTGCACTCACAGCATAGCACGGGGCTGGGACTCGCCAGGGCCCCCCCGGCCCCCCCACCATCCTGCCTTGGGCTCGGGAGGGGGTGGCTGTGGTGGGGAGGGGCCTGCCATGTGCCGTGCGAGTCAGGATTGTCCTAACGCTCACACTGTTTCTCTTCTCTCGTCTTCCCCTCATGCTGCCACCGTTGCTGCTGTACTCTTCTCTCAGGCCTCTCTTAGCCACAGCTGGATTTTTGCAGTTGCGTCTGAGTTTGTGTTTTCTCCCTTGCCCTTGCCTCCTCCTCAGCTGAGATCTGGGATGGCTGGGGCCTGGCCCTTGCCCTGTGCCCCCTCCTTTCCTCCTCATGGGAGGCCTAGTCAGCAGTGAGTGCCTCACTCCTGGGGGACAGCTGGGGAGCCTGTTCTTGGCTTGGGCAGAGGTACTGATTGATGTCACCACTGAACACTCACAGCCTCTCAGCTGCAGTGGCAGCCAGCCCCAGCCACTTGGAGGAAGGGGGCCTGTGGATCCAGTCCCTGAGCTGAAGATCAGAAGACTGCAGCTCCCTCCCTGCTCGACTAGATAATCTCACAGGCGCCCCCGGCTGCCACCCAGCCCCGCTCCGTGCCCAGCTTCCTCCCCCCACCCAATAGCCTGGTGCTGTAAACAGCTACATGCAGCATAGGCCTGAGCCCTGGGTCTGCAGTTCTTGGCCTCTCAGGGTGGAAGCTTCCTCCCCTGGTGTGTAGGGCCCCTTGAGCACACCCAAGGCTGGGCAGCTCTTAGACTGCTCTGCTCTGGGCCCTGGGCAGCTGTCAGTCATGTTCAGAAAGCCCCTGCCCCACAGCCCGCCTGCACTGCAGGAGAAGTGTCCGGTCTCCTTCTGTCTGTCCATCATCTGTCTACTCCATGTGCCTTGGCTGCCCTAGCACCTGTGGCTTCCTGTGTCTCTGGGCTGGGAGGAGGGGAGGAAGGACTGGCTGGGGCCTGGGTTGGGTTCACTGTGAGTTTCATGCCTCAGATTAAGAAGGCTGAGATGGACAGGAAGACGCTGGACTGGGAGATTGTGGAGCTGACCAACAAGCTGCTGGATGCCAGGAATACCATCAACAAGCTGGAGGAGCTCAATGTATGGGCATCTTGGGGCCTCCCTGCCTGTGCCACTGTGTCCCCACCCTGTTCCCCAGGTGGGGCCAGGCTCTGAACTGCATCTGTGTCTGCAGGAGCGGTACCGGCTGGACTGCAACCTGGCCGTGCAGCTGCTCAAGTGCAACAAGTCCCACTTCCGTAACCACAAGTTTGCTGATGTGAGTAGTGTGCCCTCCCAGCCAGTGCCCATCCACTCTTTCTAGGACCCCTCCAGCTCCAGTTTCTACACCTCTCTGTCCTGTCCTTGCACCTCTGGCTACCCCCCTTTCTGCTTTGCCTTCCCCTCGCCTTCCTGTTTCCCCTCAAGCCAGGCAGCTCAGCCTCTGGTTGGTGTCCTGCATGCTCTTGAGGGCCTATCACTAGGGGCAGGGTGAGACTGGCCCTATGGGTATTTCTCTATGGGAACAGAGATGGGGAGAGGGTCTCAGTTTCCAGATCTGATGCAGGAAGGAGGGCATGCCAGAAGTGTGGGCCATAAGATAATTGAGAGAGTCCTTTGCTCCAAGGGGAAGCTCTAGACCCCAGAGCTCCTGCCTAGGGCTGACAGGGTCGACAGAAGGGGTGGGCCTTAGCACCAGTTCTGGGGTCAGATCCTGGCTGTGTTGATCAAAAGCTTCAAGTCATTTCACTGCAAAATGAGGATATACCTCAGTGTGCTGTGAGAATAGGTGATAGCAAAGTGCCCCGCACACTGTGAGGAGGGAGTCTTGCACATGGCAGCCTTTATTTTTGCCCTGAAGCAAGCTGTCTTAGGCTGGGATCTTTCATGTCTCTCTTTCCTTCTCTCGTTCCTGTACCCCAGCTGCCCTATGAGCTGCAGGACATGGTTCGAAAACACCTGCACAGTGGTCAGGAGGCCGCCAGCCCGGGGCCTGCCCCCGGCTTGGCCCCTGGGGCTGTGGTGCCCACCTCGGTCATTGCCCGTGTGCTGGAGAAGCCAGAGTCTCTCCTGCTCAATTCAGCCCAGTCAGGCAGCGCTGGGCACCCCTTGGCTGAGGATGTCTTCGTGCATGTGGATATGAGTGGGGGTGACCCGGGTGACTCAGCTAGCCCCCCAGCCCCGAGCAGCCCCAGCCCCCAACCCAATGGGGAGTGCCATTCCCTGGGCACTGTAGGGGGCTCCCCGGAGGAGGAGCTACCCCTGCCGGCCTTTGAGAAGCTGAGCCCCTACCCAGCCCCATCCCCGCCACACCCACTGTATTCTGGCCGCAGGGTGATTGAGTTCTCTGAGGATAAGGTGCGGATCCCCCGCAACAGCCCCCTGCCCAATTGCACGTATGCCACCCGCCAGGCCATCTCCCTGAGCCTGGTGGAGGAGGGCAGTGAGCGGGCCCGCCCCAGCCCGGCACCTAGCAGCCCTGCCTCGGCCCAGGCCTCCCCCCAGCACCAGCCCCGCCCCGCTCCGCCGGTGCTCAGTGCCCCGGCCAGCTCTGCCAGCTCCGAGGAGGACCTGCTGGCCAGCTGGCAGCGGGCGTTTGTGGACCGCGCTCCGCCCCCGGCCGCTGTGGCCCAGCGCACAGCCTTCGGCCGGGATGCACTCCCTGAGCTGCAGCGCCACTTCGCCCTTGGGCCTGCTGGTGGAGATGAGGAGGTGCAGGCACCATCGTCCCCACCTGGTGAAAGCGGGCTGCTGCTGCCGCTCGAAGCTGACCCTGGCTTTCCCAGGGGGGAGGATGAAGAAGAGCTGAATCTGCCCATCAGCCCAGAGGAGGAGCGCCAGAGCCTGCTGCCCAGTAATGCTGGCACGGAGGAGGGGCCCGGCACACCTCGCGCTGAGGGCAGGGTGTGGGCACTGCCCAGCTCCAGCCGCCCCCAGCGAAGCCCCAAGAGGATGGGGGTGCACCATCTGCACCGCAAGGACAGCCTGACGCAGGCCCAGGAGCAGGGCACCCTGCTGCACTAGTGCCCGCCTCGCCTTCTTGCCGCTGCTGCACAGGGACTGCAGGGCGCTCCTGCCCTTGCAGCTCAGGGTCTCCGCCCAGCCCAGGCCCTTGACCTCTGCTCCCTGCGCGAACAGGGTCAGGCCGCACCAGGCCTTTCAGCTGCATTGACTAACTGGTATCAGCTGGCCTCGTGGTTTTTCCCTCCTGGAATATTTATTCTCCAATGGTAACGTGCAGCTGGGGCTCATGACCTTTCTTCCAGTCAGCTCAAATCGGTCTGTTCTGGGGAGCTGAGGCCTTTATTACATCAGTGTTTATCCTCCTTCCTCCTTTTATAGCCACCAGTTTTTTTTTCCCCCCGAGTGTAAGGGGTCATTGGGATTATTAACCTCTAGTTAATAGTTCTAGTTTTTGACCGGTTTCTCTCTCCTTCAATCCCCTGCACGAGCTGTTGCCTTCACGGGGTCTAGCACAGCAGGCCCTCAGGGTGCGGGAGAGGACTGACTCAGGGCTCCTCAGCTGTTTCCTCCTCCCTCTGGGAGGGAGAAGAGGGTGGGATTCAGGGGCCTTAAACTGGGCTCTAGGTGAAGCCTGGCCCCACTCCCAGCCTTGGCTCTAGACTGTTACTCCCAGCACTGGGAAATTTTCACATCGGTAACTATTTTAAAATTAAATAAAACTATTTTACTGGAATGGCCTCATTTGTATTAATAACCTTCCTTCTACTAGTCTTCTCCCCATTCTTGAGTATCCCCAGCCCTAGTCCTGTCCTAGTCTTTGCTCCTGACTCTCCTTACCTTCACTTTGCCTGGGGCTTCCTTGCGCACAGAGCATCAGGCAGTGGGAGAGAATGTCCCTCAATTAACCTTGGCAGGGCTCCTGAGTCTCCTTGGGGTGGGGTCCAGCCAAGTTTTGGGGGTGCTTTGCCTCACTTATAGTCCTTGCAGGGCCTGTGAAAGGTGTCACCCCAAAAACCCAGGTCCTAGAAGTCAGAGACCTGAGCCAGAGCTGTTTGAGACATTTGGGGCCAGTGGATACTGCCTGGAGCTTGGGCCATAGGGTAGCACTGCCACCTAGTGATGTCTAGAGGTATTTCCAACTCCTCCCCTACTGCCATCCCCCAGTGACCAGAGCCACACACCAGGTTATAGAGTTCATAAAATCTCTTCCGAGCCAGCGGGCTGCAGCCAGAGCTGCCAACAAGTCCAGAGGCACTGCCTTGGGTTCCAGTGCTCCCGAGGATTTTGTTGAGTCACAGCCTCCAGAGCCTCCCACCACACCACCAGGAGCTGCCAGAGCCCCAGGCACCACCCCCTATCCACAAGCCCCAGGGTCTGACCCTGACATCTGGGGCAAAGTGCTGGAGACACAAATGTAATGATGCGCAGAAACGGAGAGTCACATCTCAGTCTCAGCCAACAGACTGTCCCCTAGTCCTGATGTCATAAGCACCATCTGAGAGCTGGGATCTGTGGAAGGGCAGAGGGGTGTTTAGACCACCATGCATCCCTCCTCTGGGGACCACAGGCAGAAGTGGCCTAAGTTTCCCATGCCCCGTCTAATTGGTCTCAAGCCTCCGATCAACCCCTGGGGGCTCTTACCACTGGGACCTGTCCAGGAGCTGCTGCCCCTCTGGTGGGCAGCAGGCTGCCGTGCTCGCTCTCGTTCCTGGGTGTCGCCAGGCCCTCCTGCCACCTCCTCCTCCTCCTCCTCCCCCTCAGAGAGGAGGTCGCAGATCTGCTGCTGCAGCTCCGGGCTAATGCTGTTCTCGGCCAACACCAGACTCCGCAGAGCTGTAGGGTAATTTTCTACCATATCCAGCAGGGTCTGTGGTGGGAAGAACACGGAAAAGGATGAAGGCAGTTAAGGAGGCTCCTGCAGGCTCCAAGCTGCCACCCCTTTGGTGTGTCCACAGGATGGATGTTGAGGCTAACCTCAACCCCTGGTCCATCCCCCAATGTCAAGACTTCTCACCTGCGCTGACTGGTTGGTGAGCCCTGTGCCCTCCAAGTCTAGGACCTCTAAGGTGCGGCTGGAGGCCACAGCTACAGCCAGCATCCCTGCCACGTGGTCACCTGGGGAGACAGCGCACACACACACCCACACCCACACACACTCACCTGCAGTCATTTGCAGGCCCGCTAACTCTTCCCCACAGCCTCCCCATCACCCTAAACACCTAAGATCCCACCTCAGGCCAGGAAAGGCTGGCAACTGGTAGATGGCCAGGAGGGAAGCATTGTGACTGGCCAGTGAATGAATGAAGCCAGCCAGGCCTCGGGGGTAGTGATGGATGCTCTGATCTAACTGTTGGTCAGCTGGTCCTCCACACTGGTGGCTTCTGTACTTCCACCCACAACCCTCTTTTTCCTTTCCTTCGCCAGTGTGGTGGTTACTATGGCAACTGATGATCCCAGGTTCTTGCAGGTGGGGTGAGGGGAGTGATGAGAATCAAAAGGGACTTTTATGAGTCTCACCCAGGGGATTGTAGTCCAGATTGAGCACGCGGACCTGGGAGCTGTGGGCCACGGCAATGGCGAGGCGGCTCCAGCCCTTAGGGGTTATGCCGGGGTTAGCGCTCAGTGTCAGCTCCTTCAAGCCTGGGCAGCGTCATAGTGAGAGCCAGGATGGGGAGGGTCAGGCCTTTCTCCAACCCCTCCCCGACCTGGGGATCTTTGGGGTGTCCCTGGTGACTGAGAGCCATGCCAACCTCTCCACAGAGCTTCAGGGACATTAGAGCCCCATGCCCTTCCTGCCCTCTGTAGCCTGGATTCCTGTGTCTTTATCCTGCTCGGCCCCAACCCTTCCTCCTTGAGAGGATCTGAGAAACATTCTCACCCATACAGTCAGAGCCCTCTTCTCTGGGCCAGGCCCCCTCCCCTCTGCACTTAGTTTTTCGCTTTTCATCAAGGCCACATCAGCCCTTGCCCTCAGCAGGGCCCCTGCTCACCGGACTTGGCCCCGTCAGGCGGGAGGAGGCCACAGATGAGGTTGATGGCTTCATCACCCAGCATGCAGTCCCCCAGGTCCAGTGCCACAAGGGCAGGGTGGAGGGCCAGGGCTGGATTCAACAAGGCCAGCCCCGCGTCTGTCAGAGGGCTCCCATGCAGGCTGGGGGGTAAGAGCAGAGAGCAAAGGTTACTTCCATCATCAACCCTGTCTGTAAGGGGGAAGGGGCACCCTCCCTGATGGTGAGCCCTAGAGGTGAAGAGGACATTTGGTCACAGCACATGGGAGAGCCCTGGGAAGGAAGAAAATTCTAGATTCTGAAAGAATGCAGTTAGAAGAGGAATGTGGCTTCTTTTCCAGGGCAGGGACTAGGCTCCACATCAGAACACAGAGAAGGAGCGTATGGGGGTGGTATTTTGGACAGAATGTATGGGCAGGGATCTAGTTCTCAGGGGAGGATTCCTTCTTTGTGGACTGAGCAGCTGCCCTGGAGAAGTCATTGGGGTGATCACGTTGGGCGGTACGCCGACCCTGCCAGGAAGGGGGTGGGTATCCTGGCTCACTTGGGGTGGGGCTGGTGTTCACAGTCTGGAGATGAAGCAGGAGCTTAGAGGGTGTGGTGGAGGTATGGTTAGAGAGAAGAGGTGCGTGAATAAGGGGTGAGAAGGTAGGTCAAATGCAAAGACAGGTACAAGGAGGTGTGGGAAGGAACAGGAGGTGGCAAGAGGAGTGCGAGGAAGGGGTGTGGTGCCCAGGACCCCCTTTTGAGAGAGCACACTCACAAGAGGGACTGGATGGAGCGGTTGGTCCGCAGCGCCTCCGCCAGCTGCTTGATGCGGCTGGGGCTGGACACGACGCCCAGGTTAAGGTTGAGCTGCGCCAGGGACGTGGCCCCGGCTAGGGCCCGGCAGATTCGGCCGAAGTCGCGGTCGCAGAGACGGCAGCCGCGCAGTGAGAGCAGGCGCACGGCGTTGTCGCGCAGGCCGCGGCAGATGTCCCGCACCTCGGCTCCTGACAGCGGCTCCCCCGAAATCTGGATGGAGCTGGGCAGCATCGTACCCACGGCTGGGCCGCCGGGGCCGGGGCCCGGGCCGCGGCCGAGGTTGGCGGGGCCATTGCGGAGCCGCCGAGGTCGCCGGCCGGGCTGAGACCGCGCGGCGCTGGAGCTGGGACGGACCGTGCGGTCCGTGTCTGGGCGACTGGCCGGGGGGCGCGTTCCGGGGTCGGGCGGGCGCTGCTCCGCGATGGTCCTCGTCCCTCGCGGTTGTGGCGGCGGCTCAGGGACCTCAGCTTAGGACGCGCAGGACCAGTCTCCGCTCGGAGGCCGCATCTGCTCTCTCCCTTCCTCCAGCCCCGCTCCGCCTACCGCCTCGCAGGGAGAGCCCGAGGCGGGCAGGCCGGCGGGCCGGCAGGCGGGCAGCGGGCGACGGGCTGCAGCTCCGGCTGAAGCTGCTGAGCCGGAGCGGGCGGCGGGTTCCCATGGCAACGGTCGCGTCACCACCGCTCGCCCCGCCCCCTGCCCGGCCTAGGCCACGCGGGCCCGGGAGGTTTGCGCACACCCGGCGTTCAGGTGGGGACGCCTGAACGTCTGGGTGTGGGGCCAGACGACAGGTGGAGAGTAGGTAGCCGGGTGGAAGCCTGGGTCGGGCAGGGGATGGGGAGGGGAGAATAGAGGCACGTCACGTGGAGATGGCGTTTGAGACTAGTAGTGTATTGGGTCCTTTTGCTCATTTTTTCGTTGTGCTTTTGCCCGGATCCAGGGCACGCCTCTCTCCCCGTCGCCTACCGGCTCCGCCATCCAGTTTCGAGGTCCCTCGGTTCAGTTCAGTTCAGTTGCTCAGTCGTGACCGACTCTTTGCTACCCCATGAATCGCAGCACGGTCCCTAGGGCCCTTTAATCTGCGCCTCGCCCCGCCCGCGCGACGAGAGGCGTCGCGTGCGTGGGAACTCCAGCCGCGTGCCCCTTGCCATGATGGCTGCGTTGCAGCGGGGGCCCCCAAGGGTCCCGTCCCAGCTGAGACGGCCTGAGTTAACAGGCCCAGTGGAACCCTCAAAGGGTCCTTGGAGTAGGTGAGCTGCAGGTAGATGCAAGGTGCTGGTGCAGCTCCTTTCCAGGTGATCAGGGCACTGCTGATGCTCTGACGTTCTCAGTACCCGTGGAGACTGGAGTGGCCAAAATGAAAGGGGTGCCAGGATGGCAGCCTGGAGTGGTTTTGCCGCTGTGGATGGTGGCTGGAGCTTTCAGTAAGGGCACACTGCTTAACACAGGCAGTGCACTTACAACTTGCTCCACTGGTAACAGTGTAGGGACCTTCCCATATGGTCATATAGCGCAAACCCTAAGGATGTGTTTCTTAGTTCCCTTATTAGAAAGGAGAAATGCTGACCCAGATTTACTAGGGTAATGAATTTTTTAAAAATGCATCACACAAAGTAGTGAAGGGAGGCCAAGGATCCTGTTCCTTCCATTAACTACCCTAAGTAACTCCTTAGCTGGAACAGATTAAACAGCTAGAGGGGGTGGATCTGCTGTGCTTGGGGTGGTTATTGCTTTTAACCCTGAGAGAACTGAAGGAAGCTTTGTTGCTCTGGCCCTGTATAACCAGGCCGAAGCCAACTTTGACTTCAGATGTGAGCTCCCACAGGAAGATTATCCTTACAAAATGACCCAGGTGCCAAAGGACCTTGTTATGACATGGGGTTGCATCTGGAAAGTTGTGTCCAATTGTCACTGCTCCATAGGCATCCCAAGAGTGAGACGGAACCCAAAGTCAAGTTGGGCGCACTGTTCCATCAGATTCATGGTTCTTGAGCTAAGGCCTCCATGCTGCTGCTTGGATTCTCATTTCCTCTGCCTCGGGGACAGGCAGCCTTCAATGTACTCAATGTAGTCTGGACTGTCCCACTTTATTATTAATATTTTTGGCCATGCCATGTGGCCTGTGGGATCTTAGTTCCCCGACCAGGGACTGACCCCATGCCCCCTGCAGTGTGCCAGGGGAAGTCCCTGGGCTGTCTGACTTTCATTCTGCTCGCACAGGGGTATACTTAAGGGAGGAACATGTGACATGACCACCACTGACAGAATAGGGAAGTGCACAAGAAGCAGGATGGCACGGAAGACCACTGGAATGGGTAGCTGCAGTCCCAGACTTCAATCAATATTTTAATTACCAAGTCTATATTTAGCAAGACAATGTGGGAGAGAGAAAGAGGAAGGAAGGGGTAGGTGGTGAGAGGGCCTCCGAGGAGCTGACCCACTTTCTGCACTGGCTGCAGAACCCTGCAGTCCTGGCCAGGAGTTCCTGGCCTTGTGCCCCCAGAAGCCCGACAGGCATCGAGGAGATACTTGAGTGGCTACAGCTCTGTGGCAGCTGCAGACCCCATCAAAGAGACACACGTCATCAGTACTGTCCTTTAATCTTCCTCCGCTTCACCGCTGGGGGCAAGGGGCCGGCCGGGGATTTCAGGTGGGGTCAGTGTGACTGCAGGGTCACGGCGACAGCCCTGGCTGTGGCGTTGAGCACAGTGGTGGGAAGCCTGGCAGCAGGTAGTGCGGCGGGGATGTCTCTGGGGACCCTCTGTATGGGCGGAATGTTGGGGCCCTCCAGCGTGTCCAGGATCCCTGAAAGGAGGAGGATGGAAAGTGAGCGAGGGTTGGCAGGGCCCTGGCCGAGGCAGTGGTCCTTCCCCCTCCCTGCAGCCAGGCACTCCTGTCACTTACCCTCTACCACCTTGTGGTAGGCAAAATGCAGGTAGAGCAGGAAGAGCATGTGCAGGGTAGCCAGGGTGCCACAGAGGAGCAGCCGCTGTGTGGGGCCCACGGTCCGTGACACCAACACTGCCACCTTGGGCAACAGGAACAGAGCTCAGAGGCCTGCTCCAAGCGAGTGGCGTGAGGGAGCCACTCTTACCCAGAGCAGAAACTCTTTGTGGGATTGGACTTGAGCTTTGACCTGTTTTCCCTACTCCCTGGTAGGGCAGCCCACCCCGAGAAACCTCCTGCCCAGCTTACCATGCGCAGGGTGGACAACCCACCCACCAGCAGCCAGAAGAGGTAGAAGAGGGCATGCAGGTGGATGTTATAGGTGATGAACAGGACAATGCAGTGTCCAAAGAGGCCGTAGCCCTAGGAAGGAGGATGGTGGAGAGGAAAGTCGCTCAGACTGAGCTGGCCTTGTGGGGACCTTGAAAAATAAATGGTCCACTGGCCAACTCACCCCATTCCAGGCCCTGGGGCCCTAGGACAGGTGCAGACCAGAGCCTGGGTACTCTTTTAGATCACACTTGCCCACCACTGTCCTGGACTCCTTACCAGCAGTGCCAGCATCTGGAGCATGGTGATCTGCGCGTTGCACAGGTAGGCGAGGAAGTAAATGAAGGACGAGACGCCGAGCCAGTAGCCAAAGCAGGTGCCAATGGCTGTGCCCATCAGGGTGCCCTCCCGCTGTGGGGTGAAGGCTCTATTAGTCCTGTGAGGCCCCTGGTCTCAGTCTAGCCCAGGGCCTCCTCCCTCAGGGGTTGCTTCTATCCACCATGTCTCTGTGGGCAGCTTTCAACTCACTTCAGTCACTACCCCCCCAAAAGTCCTCTGTCCTGCTTACAATAATGGTGTCAGATGTCTTCATCCCATGGAGGAGGATGGCCACCAGCGTGAAGACAAGCATGAGAGGTCCGTAGAGCTCACCTGCGATTTTCTGTCAATATACCAACTCATTCAGGCGGGGGGTACAATGGCTCTTCTGTTGATGTCTTCCCGGGCTTTGCCTCGTGGCCCTACCCTCTGCCCCAGTTCCTCCCCCGGCTCTTCCAGACATGCTACACCCCCCTACACACCTGGGGGAAGCTGACCATCTTGATAGGGATCATGGATTCCAGGAGCCTGGGAGGGGAGAAGAGAGAGGAAAGCAGATGAGGCACTCGGCTATGAGGTTCTGGAAAGCCTGGTCTTACTCATCTCACTGACTGAAGAGAACAAGCTGGATGGTAAGGAAGAAGAGGGTAGTAAAGACAGATGAACGAGGAAATCACTACCCTGCCCCTGAAAATGCTTCCAGGAAGAGCAGCCCTGACGCTGTGCCGACTGATGCAGCAGCAATATGGAGAATCCACAGAGCCCCCTAGGCCTTTGGGAGGGCTTGGCCATTTACCTATGTGACCTGTTCCCCTTTAAAAGGGGAACCTCAGCAGAGATGTAAAGATAAAAATGTTTAGAAGGAAAGTTGTCACTTGAGAGAACCAGGGTGCCCCCTGCCTCTTCCTACTTATCATCCCTCCCGATACCACTGAGAATTTTCCTGAGAAATGTATTTGAAGTGGTATTAAAATTTCAGGCAAAGCAATCCCACTCCTGGGCATACACACCGAGGAAACCAGATCTGAAAGAGTCACGTGTATCCAATGTTCATCACAGCACTGTTTATAATTGCCAGGACATGGAAGCAACCTAGATGCCCATCAGCAGACGAATGGATAAGGAAGCTATGGTATATACACAATGGAATATTACTCAGCCATTAAAAAGAATTCATTTGAATCAGCTCTAATGAGATGGATGAAACTGGAGCCCATTATACAGAGCGAAGTAAGCCAGGAAGATAAACACCAATACAGTATACTAATGCATATATATGGAATTTAAAAAGATGATAACAATAACCCTATATGCAAAACAGAAAAAGAGACACAGATGTACAGAACAGAGTTTTGGACTCTGTGGGAGAAAGCGAGGGTGGGATGTTCGGAGAGAACAGCACTGAAACAAGTACACTATCAAGGGTGAAACAGATCACCAGCCCAGTTGGATGCATGAGACAAGTGCTTAGGGCTGGTGCACTGGGAAGACCCAGAGGGATGGGATGGAGAGGGAGGCGGGGGGGGGGATCAGGATGGGGAACACATGTAAATCCATGGCTGATTCATGTCAATGTATGGCAAAAACTACTACATTATTGTAAAGTAATTAGCCTCCAACTAATAAAAATAAATGAAAAAATAAAAAATAAAAAAAACATAAACTTTCAGGCAAGACAAAGAGAAGTACCAAAAACTTTC